AGATTACGTTAATTTATAAAAGTTAATTGAACTTGGTATTTGTATCTACATTTTGTTATTAATATTAGTGTATACTTTCAGGTGTATTTATGTAGTATTATTTTAAATATTAAAAAATTTAATTATAGTACGAAACCGAACAGAACCGAATCGAACCAAATCGAACCCATAACGGTTCCAAAATTATATTTGGAACTGACGGTTCCATTTACTAAATACCTGAAAATTTCTGGAACCGAAAAAAATCGAACAGACTCGCACCCACCCCTAGTTCAATCAATTTGATTCATCAAATATTTTGATGAATTGAGAACTTGACAATGACTAAAGTAGAAAACAAGAATTCATATTAAAAAATGACGTCCTAAAAAATGAGTACAGTAACTGCTTAAATATGTTATATTGAACGATTATAAATTTGACTTTAGCGTCTAACAATGGCTAAACTCTTGACATCTATGATAGGTCCATAGGAACATTTAAGTTAATGAAACTAATTAGAGGGACAAATAATTTTTTATGTCGATTTCTAATTATCAAATCTCGGACAAAGATAAAATACATATATAACATGTTACAGAAAATTATTTGCAACCTCCTCTTGACTTTTAGTTTCATCACGATTTTATCGTCACTTTCATCCCATGTCGGTTAGAGTACTTTCATTTTGATGAATCTGTTCTTATTTGGACACTTAGTTCTCTTATAATCGAGTTTGTTACAATCATAGTAAATGAAATTTTTGCTTTGCTCTTCCCACATTTCCTCTTTCTTTTGAAATCGTCGACTGTTGCGAAAAGTTCTTCATTTTTTGACAAGAAAAACTAGATCATCAAGTTCTTCATTGCTCATATTTTCGTGGCGTCATCAATTGCCGATTTTAAGGCAATTTGGCGCTAGGAGGTTCCTTTTACTCTTCTTTGATTTTCCTTGTTTTCTCTTTTATCTCGACATTATTGAGCTCATAAATCATCAACGTTCCATAGAGTTCTTCTAATGAATATGTGTTGACATCTTTGGTATTTTCTATCAACATCATTAGTGACATCCAATCACCCGATAGAGATCTAAGCATTTTACTTACAAGTTTTCCGTTAGTAAATTATCGATCAAAGCCTTTAAGGCCATTGATAATATCGTTGAAGGAGTAATCATGTCAACAATATGTTCATTTTCTTTCATAAAGAAATTTTCGACATTTTTAACCATAAGATTTATCTTAGTTTCTTTTACTTTACTAGTGTTCAAGTGAGTAACTTTTAGGGCATGCTAAATATTGAAAGTGGAGTCACATGTACTAGTTCAATTAAATTCATTTTTAACTAAAGCACATTAAAGTATATTTTTGGATCTAGCATTTTCTTTTATCCTCTTCATTGTACTACTCTCTAGATTTTGAAATGGTTTGATTCGATTTTTAGTCAACTTTAATAATTTTTGTAGGCAAATAGGAACTATATTCAATAAATTTTCAAACATTATCATCTATTAATTAAACATAGATCATCACCTTGACTTTTCAATAATTATAACAAGTGTCATCAAAGAAAAGAAGACGATTTTTAGAATGTCTCACAAGATTTTGAATATTGTGGCTATTACTCAAGATTGTGAAATCTTAAATTTTAAAGTGAGCACCTTACTTAATACGACCCACAAATTTGAAGAGTGTTTTTACAATTTGAATATCTCTCTCTTAATAAATGATATAAATGAATTAAGTACCAAGAGAGTCTAATAATTCAAAGAATAGCAATAAATAAAGTTCAAGTGTTAAATGAGAAAATTTTTATGACAAAGATGATTTTCAAAAATTGATTTAATCAATCAAAAATTCTACAAAGCAAAATGTTTGATGAAATAAATAAGATGTAAGCTTTAATGAATTTTGCTCAAGAATGTTTCACTTTAGTGCTCTTAGAAAGTCTTGCAATGAATGCAAAAGGGGAATATATTTACAGAATTCAATTAGCAAATATATGTGTGGAATCGGAAAAGCAACGAGATGTCCATATTCTGAACCAAACGAACAAAGTAGCCATTGTGCATAAAAAATAGAACAATCAAACAATTGACCGTTGGACTAACCGAACGTCCACTTCAATAGAATTTTCCTTCGGTTTTTCCAAATTGAATGTTATGAAAAATATGGACTTTCGAAAGACATTTTCAACTTATTTTTCAAGATAGGTGATACTGTAAAATATGATCTAAATTTGAAATTCCCACCTTTAAAAAATATTTATGCAAGCGCTTTTTATGAGAATGACTTTCCGTACATAAAAAATTGTTGTAGAGTTTTAATCATTCATTATTAAAGATTGAAGCATTTATACATTTACAAATGAATAGAAACGTCTAGTCTAAAATCTTCCTTTGAAGTTTGACTTTTGAAACTCTTGTCTCAAATCATTTTGACTTGAATACTCGACTTTCATCTCTAATTTCACTTTGAGTCCAATTTGTAATGTGAAAATCTTGGTAGCGATCTTTTTGTCGTCGATCGATCAATACTACATCGAGCATTTTGAAAACTTAAATTCAATTGTTAGAAACAAAATTAACTTATTATTTATTACGATCAAAACATTAAGAATAATGTCAATCATAGGTAGCACAAGAAAAATCTATATCTTAAACATTCTTATGGTGAGATAGTGCATAAATATGATAAAGGTAAATTTGATTTGAATGATTTCTATGACATGA